CTCGGGTCCCTCCGCGTCAAATCCCGGCCGCGATAAACTGCGTGGAGGATCCCGGAGATCTGTCCGCCGAGCAGGGTCCGAGTCTCGGGGCAACGGGCATCGAAGAGGTCATGCCATAAAAACCCTTGTCATAAGCCAAGGGCCACGTCCAAATACAGGGCGCTCCTCTTGCTTCAGCACTGGACAAAAAAACACATTGGATCCAGAGTCCAGACTCTTGAAAACATTGATAAGAAAATGGACTCTTGATTCAATCAGATTTAAGCTTAAATCAAAAGGAAATCCGCTCAAACTAAGAGGCTTGGTTCTTGATTTTAGCTGAATCAAGAATATTTTTTCTCGTCGATGTTTTTAGGAATCCAGACTCTAGATCCAATGCGGTTTTTTTTCCAGTGCAGGGTAAAACGCCCATATTCTAGGAGCGTATGTAATTCGTTGTCACGAAAGAACGTAACTAGGTCTCAACGTTGCCGGATTTCCCCCTCGCCTTTTGTATTTTTACCTGGAAAAGCTTGAGACTCTCTTACTGAAAATTCCGCTGATTTTTCCTCTGATCTCGTGCGAAAATCAGAAAAGTTATGGGCAAAAATTTGCTCGAGTACATTTTCGTAAAAATTTTAATAATTTGAGTCAATTTTGCAACCTTGGAATGGAAAATCGTTACGTCCCCTCGTCCGAGAATCAACGAATTGGTCAAAATAAATATTTTGCTTTTCTATTTTTTTCTTCTCTCCTTCTAAAGAAATGTCCTCACGGTCGAAGTTCCGTTTTCCGCCCTTAAAATTTGGCCCATCATCATTCTCGAAATGCAGATAAGTTTATGACCTTGCGGGCGGGGGGCCGTAGCTTTGACTGGGGCAATTTTGGGGGGAAATGAATTCATTGTAGGAAAGAGTCAAATTTCAACCCATTGACAAAGGCTGGCCGAAAACTTAGGAACACCCCGTATTTCACTTTCGGTTGCGGTGATTTAAAATCAACGCGTACGGGTTTACGGTCCCGTCATAACTTCGGGGACACCTCTCGTCTCCCGTTGTCACTGTCGCGCAGAAACTGTGGGAGGATTTTGACGCTCCCTTGACATAAGGACGCAACCATCTTTTACATTGAGCTCCAGCCTCCGTATAACTCCACGCCTCCCAGGGCTCACATTCAAATGGAGTCACGATCTCCATGTCATCGGAAGGAGGATTTATCGTCTTAATATAAACGGACACCTCTTATCAAGACGCGGCGCTTAAATTGAATTTTATGTCTACCCCATTGCTCTTCCCCCGGCGGCAGTCAACCCCGGGCACATATGACACGGGGCTCCGGGAGTCGCGCATGATAACGCCGGTGATGTATGCCCGGAATTACAGCCGAGGAGATTGAATGGATGAAGTTGGAGGAATAACGACTCGGGGGGGATCATCGCGCCGACGGAGGGGGGTCCGCGGTATTACCGCCTCACCTCCGCGTGCACCGGGGAAATTTCGGTGATTCGCCATTATTCAACTTTTCCCGAATTACCGAGCGAGCTCCCGAGTGCGATAATGGCCCGCGATTAAAACTTCGCCCCTGCGTTCCTACTGCGTCGAGCCCGAGCGAACTTGCAAGACAAAAGCACCCGCAGTTCCGTGTAACTTCGCCCGGTGCGCTTGTCGGGGTTTTTTTTTCTAATTTTAAGCTCCGAGCTTCAGTCAATTTAGAGTTTTAAGATCCGTGTTAGCAACGGGGGTCGACCCTTCCAAAAACTCGGAAATCAGATCGTGCTTCTGTAGGACAGTCCTTCGGGTCAATCCTGTCGAAGAAATCAACTTTTCATGACTTACATTTCTAGGTGAATGTGTATATGAAACAGTAAGCCGACCGACGTCCTACAGGAAATTCACGCTTTTTAGGGCAAGTTTTGAATAATGCCCATGGGTTTTTCAGAAATTTCTTCGATCCAATCGTTATTCTACAAATCAACCTGCTCAGAAAATGTCTAATTTTGCGATTTCCCACCGGAAAACATGTGTGTAATATCCTGAAGTTGGATAAACTTTTCTCAGGTTTCATTGCCTACCTAAAAGTTCAGGATAATAAAGTCAAAGAATGATAGACGATGGTTACGACGGTCACAACCTAAAATGAGCATGTGTTATCCCAACGCGAAGCGTCCACCAAATCATATGCAGAACCTCATGAAACTAAATAACTTTTGGTGGTATTCTAGGCCAAATTTTAATCTTAGTGGGTGCTAGTCGTAAGCCGCAGGGACTAAAAGTGTGCGAGTGTACGAAGTGCTGAAAAATTCTGGCAGCAGTTACTGCAGTCGCGATGAAGGAAAACAAGAATATGTATTCTCAACGCAACCCAGCAAGAAGTGAAATCTGTTTGGAGGGCAGGTCCCCCGCAAAAGCTCGCGATTGAATCGAAGCTTCCAAATCGCTTCGAGCCGAACGTCGCGTCGCGTCGTCGGAGGCTGCAAACGAGCAACACACGACTCGCACGAGGAACTGACAATGAGACTCCTTGTGCCAATTAATATTGTATACATTGTACTTATCTTATTTTCTTATCAGGGACAAACGAGCTCCCAACAATCGCGTCTTGTCAGGGGCCTCCGGGGGGCGGGGAGGGAGGGGGGGTTGGCTCGCACCGCCGCGCGTGGCGTCCCGGGACGCACGACGACGGCGGCGTTCGTATGCGCGTGCGCTCGCCGTGCCGATCCTGTCGGCGCCAATCGGACGGGGTTTCGCCGTAGGGACGTATGTGTGTCACCACGTGAGCCCTCGGACTCCTTTGAGTCCCTGCGCGGTAGAGCTCAGGTGAGAACGCGGTGCCGGGCTTTCGACACGTTTTCGTCCAATTAGTATTGATAAGTCGCGCGACTTGTGCGTGGGCCCGTTGTTGAGGTCCCTGAAAGGGAGGGTATCGGTTGGAGGGTACTTGAGTGACGTCATCTAACGGAAGCCACGAATCGGGAAGCCTGCCGGACCCGGAACTATGCACTCACGTCTTGGCTCATAATTATGTGAATATTCGGATATAGTCACTTCAATCGAGTGGAGGAGGGGAGGTTTATGGATTTTGGGCTCAATAAGGGCGTTTTCTACATGTGTTTCGTTAGTTCAGCCCCTTATTTCATATTCCACTGGAGACGGAACCAGCATGACGCTTTTGGTTGTTGGTTACCATAGTGGTACTCCTTTGCATTGAACTCGATCCAAACCGTAACGATGACGTCATGACGTCTCGTACAAAAATGAAAAAAGTACACAGCATTTCTGTTTCTTGCTGTGAACAATGCTCGTATGATAATCAAGCTTTTTTTTCTAGTTGCATTATCAAATTTTTCGATAGAAATACTTAGCAGTAAAAAACGCTGATGCACAGTCTATAAGGTATTGTCTTCATTCCGATTTTTTCACCCTTCGCTCATCCTCGAGTACCCAACGTTAGTTTTGGACGACCACCAACCTTGATCCATAGAAATATTTCTGACTTTCTTCAAACTTGATTTTCGAGAACTTCGAGTTAAAAATTAAACCAACCCCCCACACATTAGATTTTTAAAAAAAAAAAAAAAAAAAAAAAAAAAAAAAAAAAAAAAAAAAAAAAAATTGGTAAATTGTCACGGGGTTGGATGCGTATCGAAGGAAAAGGTACGATCCGCGTTAACGTCGCGTATGGGGATATAAGCGGGTTTTCGAGGAGGAACAGATGCCAGACATCACAACTGGAAGTGTCAACGCGACGCGTCGATGATGGATCACCGATAAATCAATCGAAATCGACGGGAGTTTACTCTCGGCGTAAACCGGGCTTCACCGGCGCGGCGCTGTGGCAGGGTTCAGCCGGCGACGTGTCAAGGTGACTGCGTGGGTCATTCACCGAGGCCAGATCGTCGTCGTTTAAAAATATCATAACCCGAGTGACTGACTCCCCTCTGCCCCCCTTGCCCCCCCCCCCCCCCCCCCCC